TGTCAGTTTTGGGGAGTAACGGAAATACAAGATATGAGTAACTATTCCGTTACAGTTACCGTTTAAAAAGGTGGTATTCAGAATGCAGTTACTTTGTTGAAATAAATAGATTATACGGAGGTCTTTTCCTGTTTCATATGTTAGGCTATGCTCTCTCTATTTTTGGTAATTCCACGTCGGTGGAAACCAAAACAAAACACGCATTAAGTGGCTCTAATGCTTGTGTCTCAGTCTCGCGGCCCATGTCAACTCTCGCATAATGATGTGAATAAATATTTTTAAAAAATATTATTAAAAAAATGATTTAATATGAAGGCAATAGGTATAGTGTTACAGGCACAGCCCTAAACAGTGTAGCCTCATGGGCAGTGTAGTCCGTGCTGCTGGGAGAATGGACTGCTATACCCGTTATGTGTCTGTGAGCGAGGGAGGGAGAAAAAGGAAAACTACGAGCAGTCACCAACCAGAAAAGTGAGATGGAAGTGTGTAAATATAATGATAACCACTGCAGCCAAAAAGAGTGCCTGACGAGCCCAGTTGTAAGTAAGCTATTAAGACTCGACTGTACACTGTGTTTGTGTTTTCCTCCGAAACAACAAATTCCGTTGGTGCAGCCTTTCAACACCACTCTCTGTCTCAAACTTGACCCAGACAACAAAGTAAAGCTAGTTTTCGGTTACGAGCCCGACACGAAACCCGACATATTAGCTAGAGGTCCCTTTACTACGGTTCGGAGCCGCAGACCTGTTTTATATACGCGCGGAATAGTTTCTATCCGGGATCGCTGCAAAAAGTTCAGCCTCATCTAATACCCACCCTACTGTCAGTGGCGGTCCTAGCCTGTTTGGCGCCCTAGGCGAACACTCCCTCTGGCGCCCCTCCCCACACACACACATAAAACCATAAAACCATACCGAACTTCACCAGAGAAATATACACACACATATGAAGAGAGAGAGAGTATGCATAGTATGCAAACGGCTACCAAACAGCCATCATAATTCGTCATACAATGAGAACAGGAGAAATCAACAATTGACAATGACTAATTAATATTAAAATATGTAACATAATGTATTGTTTGGAGTTTAGTCTGTTACTGTTACCGTTTTTACCATTTCGTTTTGGAGCAACTGTAACCCACATTATTTCCTTAAGGATTTATAAAGTATTCTGACTCTGATTGTTTCAGGATGACCTGCCATTATCCAATGACACATCTGCTTACCTGTATCCTTTGCTCGTTTCTCCTCCTCTTCTTTTCTCTTTTTCCTAAACTGAGCACCTGATGGCTTTGAACTTTTCTTGTCCACCTTCCATTGGTTTTAATTTTGCACTCCAGTATGAACACCCATCCCCCAACTCGAGGATCACCACAACATAACCTAACAGGCCTACACCTTAGTTCACAGATTTGCTTTGTCTAAGGTGTATTTCTGGGATTTCACACAACCCAGGATTCAAATAATGAATACATAATGGTCTTGGAATTACATCATTATGAATGAAATGTGCTCTATTTGGAAGCAGCCGGCCCCCCTCCCCTTTCCACAGGTTGTGTGTGAGACTTTAAATCATCAAACTGTAAATTATAAATTGTTATTGATCCCTTTACCCCTAGTTTATTGTTTGTTTACTTGCACTGCTGTAACTGGAGCCTCGTCGTCTCGTCTCTCTAATTACTGGACTGTATGTAGCAGAGATGACAATAAAGTTTACTTTGACTTCAGCAGCAAGCAGGCGCCCCGAGGGCTCTCGCACTCACTTTACGTGTATAGAATTTCGAAAAAACATCGATGCAAATAAGTCTGCATCAGGATGTCTGGTGTTTTCGTGTTTGTTGGTTTGTTTTTATTTTGTTTTAATTTGGTTATTGGTTATTAGATGCTGCTCCAACCAGCCAGAGAATCCCCCGCCGCCCCGCCCTCTCCTCCCTGTGGAGCAAGCAGCAGGCGCACCTCGCAAACGGAGGGCGCCCTTACTCCCAGCAAATGGGCGGTAGAAAACCGATCGGTGCCTATGCCATTCCCAATATGCGCTGGCATGACGTCGGGGCAGCATGAATACGAGTAATTTTTTTTTATTTGTTTTGTTTTTTTGGGGTTGTTTTGCCGATGCCCATGATGTTGCCCCCCACCATGATGCCGCCCCAGGCAACCGCCCATGTCGCCCGTATCAAAAACCGCTACTGCCTACTGTTACTCATTTTACATTAAGATTTCAAAATCTAGTTGTTATTGGTATGGCGAGTATTCTTCAGTAATAGTAATAAATCACACAACAATAGGACATTCATGTAGTTGTAAAAAGCATGATAATGTATTAAGTAATCCAAAGTACATTTTGGGGCATGTATTCTGTATTCTGTAGTGGAATACATTTTAAAAGAGACCTTCCCAGCACTGTTCATTGTTAAGTTGCGTGTTATGTGTTGATACAGCACTGGTTCATCCCTTGATAATTATTCCCCACAGTGATCAGGCACTGGACTGAAAATGACTGAAAAAGCCATTCAAGTCCAAAGAAAAACTCTTGAGAAAGCCTGAAGAACTATTGCTCAAGACCATTTAACAAATGACCACAAAGTCTAGCTGCTTTGAAAATGTAATGTGAAAATGTAAGAAATCAGAGGTGTTTCAAGACTTACTGTACTGTGCTTTTTCTCATTTACTAACCTCACAGTTCGCAGTGTATTCTGAAGTATTAGGCTGTTGAAGTGACCCTTATGAAAGAAATAGAAAGGAAAGAGAAATTTAACTGCTGACATGTTTTATAGTCATCAGAGTGCTTTTATGATAGGCAATAGTTACCTTTAGAAGGACACTTTTTTCTCTGGACTATTTTGCAGAGGGTACCACAGAAGATTACATTGAAAATAACTGAGACAACCAGAGCTGCAACCACAGTCTTAACCAAGACGGGGACAGCTTTGTCCTGTTTCACTGCAAAGACATAGAAAGCAACGTAGAGTAAGCAAAAGAGGAAAATAAGAGGGTGAAAGAAACTATAATAGGTTTCAGTTTTAACACATATGTTCCTCACCTACGACATCCAGCCTCGTGCCTTTCCCAACAAGCACCTCGCTGCATGAAGCCACAGCACAGTAGTACGTCCCGACATCAGACCGGCTCACGTTCTTCTTTGTGAAGCTGTAAACGCATCTCTGTGCAGAGCACCTGGACTCAGACCTCTTCGCACACTGGCTGCTGCTATTTGTGTGGCTGTACATGATTCCCAAGTGAGAATCTACTGTATCCTTTTTGAACCAGTAAACGTTGTCTTCTTCGGCACTGGATCCTTTGAGCAGCGTGCAGTTCAGTGTCACCGAGTCTCCTTGTTGCACAGAGTTTGATTCTGGCTGCTTTAGGAAAGTCCTGTGACTGGGCTCTGAAAAAGTGTTAAAACACATGTTAAAATAGGAAGTGCAAGAAAAAAAAGCAGATTTGTTTTTATATTGTTAATATTCCCAAATCTTAAAAACTTTCCACATTACCTCTCAGGACCAAAAACGTTCCGTCGTCAAATTTAGTGACTGAGATGCTGGTCTGTCCACAGTAGTACATGGCCGAGTCAGAATCCTGAACATTAAAAATGTTCAGACGATAGAAATCTTCTCCACTATCAACTGAAATGCGTTGATTGTTTTTAAACCCGGGGTGGAAGCTGTTGGAGTTGAGTAAATGTTTGTAGAAAGAGGATATGACTCGAGGTGACTCTCCTATGACTTGCTTGTACCAGGAGAGATATTTGGCCCTGGAGGCAAAGGAGCAATGAAAAGTCACATTATCTCCAAGGTTAGCGTAGAGGAGCGCACCATCTGGAATACAAATCAAGATTAGTTAGAGACTCCACAAACACAAGATAGAGAGATTTAAGGCAATTGCAACTCATTTACAGCATAAATGAATAAAAAGTGAGTGTGAAGGACTTACAGGCTCTAATGAGAGGAACCAGGAGCACGTAAAACCTGAGCATCCTTTACTCTCACTTCACTGTTCAACCTCTTCCAGCACGAGTGCAGTTTGAACAAAGGAGCCACAGAGAGAAGTTACAACCTCAGCAGAAAAGGTGTAGACGTAACAGAGGTGTGGGTGTCAGTGCTCATCCACAGAAGGAAGTCAAAAACTCTGAGCTGACCTTTTTCTTAATGAGAAATAAAAGTACATGCATATATCCATATGCGTTGTGTACATACTTAATTCACACATCCTGAATCCAAACTGCACTTTTATCAGCTTCTCCATCAAACACCTGCTTCTGCTTGAACTGCGTTGCTGTCTTTATGGTGTAGATGGTTTTTCACAGCTATAGAAGCACACAAAGCCCACTGCAGTGACGTTTGTGTGCTTTGACTTTGCATCCCCGTGTGATGCATTTGATGCTTCTTCTTCCTTTGATGACTGCTCTGCATTTGACCTGAAGAGGGCAGCAAAGAACTGTATTATCCTCACTGCTGATGTTTCCCCCCCCCCACACATGATCTAAGATTTCTTGATGAGTCACTTTGTTTGTATTCTGGTTCTCAAACTTTTAAGTGGTTCACAAAGTGAAACAGTGATTCAAAGCAAAAAATATCTAACTCTCAAGATTAGTTAGAGGTTGAGAGAAAGTGCACAACGTTTCAAACATTCCTAAATGCATTTTATTTGCATTTTACAGATGTGGAATATCAGCATTATATTTGTTTTCATTTCTAAGTCCCCCTGAGATGTAAGTCATCTAATTTTTAGTGTTTTAAAGCAGCGGTCCCCAACCCCCAGAAAAAAAAAAGGTTGGAAGCTGCTGTTTTAAAGAACGAAAAAGGATTATTAATTATTATTGCATATTTTATTTATGTTGATGACTGACTCAGATTACCTATTTTAAAGAAAACTGTATTTATTATAGTGAGTGACAATAAGGGAGCAATGTAACAGACTGATATTACACCCACACACAGCAGTAGTAAAACTGTTGCTGTCAGAGCACAGATCCTGAACAAAAAGAGGTCAGAGCAGGTCTGGAGCTTTGGGGGGGATTCCACTGGTCTTTTTCCTTGGTTGCACAGATCAGACAAGAGGAAGCAGTCTGCTTTCAAAAAGAGGAAGGTGAGCATGCATTTGCATTGGGGCATTAGATATGTACATGTAAATGTATGTGGAGATAAGCGCAGATGTGCTATTTTGGGTAAATGTCAGGTCATCAAGTGTGTTATACTGACAGATAATGCAAACATAGTAAACAAAGCAGTTTTCTCTGATCAGAGAGCTTTCTTGGGTGTTTTATGATTTGACAGATGAATCTTGGTTGATGTCATATGCTAGTATTTTATATTTTAAGATTTAGCGCTGTTCAGAACTACTTCAGTAAATGTGTTGCTCAGTCGGGTGTGGTCAGGGTGGTATGGCTATAAGCTAGGCTTACTGGTTCCCTCAGCTGGTGTCTCATCTAAGTACTAACCAGATCTGACACTGCTTAGCTGGAAAGATCACATGAAACCAGGCGAGTCAGACTGTCAATCAGTCCATGTAAGTGGTGTGAAGAATCTGTCTGTCTGATCAGTTGTAAACTCTTATCTGATTCAGATTTGGTGTATTGCAGAAGACCTCAATAAATGCAGTCTCAGGTTGTTTGTTGCATGAGCAGCTATGGTATTTTGTCTAAAGTCACATCTGTGGGTGACTATGCCCGGTCCACTCCCCGGGTGGGGAGGATTGCACAAACACACACATAGAGTAGTTTGGCTATCTTTGTGAGGACACTGATGAATTTAAAAGCCTCTTTCTAATAATTAATCCTTAACCCAGCCTGATCATCACAGAAGGCTTCAATCATTCACTCATGTTCTTTGGATAAGTGGTTCTGGAGAAGACTGCAACCCCACACCCTGTTACTGTTTAAAATGCAGTGAGTGTGTGCTTGTAGCTGTCATCGTTTCCCACAGTAACCTAATAACTGCTATGTTTACTCAACACCTCTAAATTATAGTCTCTCGCAAACAGGAAGCATACCAATCATTTGAATACAGAGATGAAGCTGTAAAGTCTTAAATGAATTCAAATCTATTTATTTTGTCTTTTGAACAAGCTCCAGAGAAACTTGTGTGACAAATGACTAACCTCAGAAAAGGTTTGCCAAGATGTTATTTGTTGAAGCAAGCATGCAGAGGAAAGTACAACAACAGCTCTAGAGATTCACACTTCACTGCAGAGTGAGGGAAAACAATCGTAGTTGTAAATGACTTGTCAGCGACGTGCAGTCAACTATTTTTTTTTCTGTCTTGTCACTGTATAATTTTCACGTCAAGAAACGTAGACCATGCCCTGTGCTCTCTCCTTATCACCCACCAAATATAGAAAGACAAAAAGCAGAAGTTATAACTCAGCACTTCATTCGTCACCATATTAAAAACATGTTTGCTTTGTAATTGAGAAAACTCCCTGTGATAAAGTCTGTAATTAGGAAATTTGTATTATGTTCCCGATCAGTTATCATGCATAGGTTTGATAAAATTGAGCAACTTTAAGGGGCTTTCTTGGAGGGACGACATTATCATTGGCCAGCAGGTGTCAGTGTAGACCCAGTGCACTTATAGAGGAGGGCTGGATTCACACTTTGAGGTACTTTGTACTTGGTGACAGTGGGGCAAACGAACTCCCTTCTGTCAAAGGCCTCGTCTGGTTAAGGAGAGAGCAGAAGGTGAGCAGTAAGAAAAACAGCACACAGTAATAACGAGAGGTTGGTTGCACAAGTGAGATGTTCAAGTCCAGAGCTAGAGAGAGAGACAGAGAGAAGGCACTGAGGACAAAACACAATATATGGGTGAGAGAAACGATCCAAATTTAACAGCATGCATGAGACTCGGTGTTAACCAAACAGGATGTTTACCAGAACTGGCTGAAATGCTCTCATTTTCTCCAATGTTTTCATCCCCAAGATCTGAGTCTACGATTAACACGGGCTCATCAAAACTGGACAAAAAATGTCACTCGGTCTGATGAGTCTCATGTTCTGCTGAAACATTTGGTTGGTAGGGTGAGAATTTGTGATAAATGACATGAAAGCATGGATCCATCCTGCCTTGTATTGAAACTCAAGCGGATCGTGGTGTAACGGCGTGGGGGATATTTGCGTGGCACGTTCAGTGTCCCTTAGTACCAACTGAGCACCGTTTAAACACCACGGTCTACCTGAGTACTGTTGTTGCTCATGTCCGTTCCTTCATGACTACAGTGTACCATCTTCTGATGGCTACAATAATGCACCAGGCCAAAAAGCTTGAATCGTCTCAAACTGGTTTCTTGAACATGACAGTGACTGTACTCAAATTGAGTCACCAGATTTCAGTCTAATAGAGCACCTCTGAATAGTGGTGTAACGCGAGATTTGAATCACAGATAGGCAGTCGACGATTCTGCACCAATTGTGTGATGTTATCTTCTCAACTCTGCGCTAACAAAATGTACTTGATATAGTGGCCAGTTGGTATTTATATATTTTAAAACAGTGACCAGTGACTTTTTGAACATTTTAGCAGATAAAAATACGTGAGATTACAGGATATATATCACACAGGAAATGCATTAAAAGCAGATTCTGTGTGATATCGTGTCAGTTATTTGAGTCTTCAACAGCTGTAATGTCTGCAAAAATGAAAGCAATGCTGTGTGAATGCTTGTAGATGTCAGTGATAGCGTCTGGCCTTTTTCCTGTAACTCAAATGATACTGTGGTAGTCTATACTGACTTTATATACTGGCAGTGTATCAATCTAAAAATGACTATCTTCATTTAGTTACAGACTGGTGACTTTATGTGTCTGAACAGCTTGGGCCTCTTTAGAAACTGGTGTCTGGTTTGACACTTGGCTATAGTCTACTTCAATCTTGTGAAGACTTTAGGTTGATTCTGAGGTTTGTGACTTCCTACTTCACAGTACTTATACATCCATGAGGCTAGTGCTGTCTAGTGTCATCTAGTAACACAGCACGACAGAGACCACATCAGACCTGCTGCAGACAAAACAGAAACAAAACGAACCGGTAAGAATTTTGTTGTTGCATTTTGTAAATCCATTGTCCAGTTTCACTTTCAAAGAGCAGGTTTTGATGACTCAGATCCATATTCACTGGAATCATGAAATGTACTGGAAATGGGTAATATCTTGCCAGTTTAATATGAGCATGAATGATGTGGCTTGTAATATATCTTTCAGATAAAGACTTACTTTAATAAAAGCTGCAAAACTACTTTTGATAGAATTTTTAGAAGATTTTGGCACAGTTTCCATCAGCAGCAACACAGTAACCAAATAAATCAATGAATGACAAAATATATATATTCCAAATTGTTCATGCCAGTCCTCCTTCCTAATTTAGTGCTTTTAGGTGTTATAGCTGTCTTTGTTGTGATGTAATAATGTTAGCCGTTGAGTTAATTAATGTCATATTTAATTCATTGTATATGTGTGTGCTACATCATTAGGTCATGTTACACATCTGCAGTTGAAGTTGTGTATAGAGGATGTGGGGAACAAGAGCAATAAGTGTGAAAGACAAAGAGATGCAGAGATACTGCCAACAAAATTATTCAGCTTTCAGCTATCAAGCTGCTTTCAAATAATGCTGTTTTGTTCTGCAGTGTCACTCTAAATATGCATGCTGGAGGTGCAGAATAAAAGCGTTGTTCTTCTTCTTCTTCTTCTTCTTCTTTTTTTTTGGGGGGGGGGGGGGGGGGGGGGCAGTAGTGTTGATGACCACTAACTGTGAAAACTCACACAGGCAGGCTGACCAGAATGACAAACAAAAGAAAGAGAAGAAAAGAATAGAAAAGGCAGCAATAAGAGCAGCCAGTTTGGCAAAGACAAACAGAAACGCTGTTGACAGAACCATAATTAACATGACTATTTACATCACTGTTTACAAGTTTATACCAATGTGGTTTCTTAAAATAGGACTTTATGGCAAGCCTGGAAGTTTCCCACACAAATGTACATGTGTGTGTAGTGTATCTGTATGCAACTGCTGACATTTCTTCTTTTCTTGTTTTTATGATATTATTGTAGAGTATCTACCTTAAAATGTAAAGTGCTTTGAGGTGACTGGTGTTGAATTAAACTCACTTGAATTGAAATGGATTGAATTATAGTTTATATCACCAGATGCCCTGGTTACAAGTGTTTGGCCTAATTCATACTTTAAATCCAGAGTTTTTGTGCAGCTATTTTCCTGCCCTCATAAGTTGAGCCCTTTTTTTCTCCACGTTGACATATGCACTGTTGCGTCTTGTGAGTTTACATAAATGTATGACGACTGCCGCAGTGTGTAACAGTCTTCTGTATGAGTGAGAGTAGCTGTGCCCTGTAAACTCTAATGATGTGGATTCTGCTTTTTTAGCCTGTAATTTCACTCTTTTGCGACTGAGTGTGTTTATCTCTTTTTCCCTCCTTTCATCACTGTGTTCTCCAGTCAGACAGGCTTTATCGCAGGTGGGTATCAAATGTAATAGTGCATTATAGACCAAATATGGTGCGTGTGAACTGTTGTCTGTTTTATCTTCTGGACTCTGATAGGGACTAAATGCCTTCATTGTTTTTGTTTGTCCCTGTTGTTGTACCTTGTTCCCTACTAGTCTCCACTTGCCCATTACTATGGGCAGAAACTCCTCTTGGTCCTTTGTCAGAGCATCTGTGATTCTCCCCTAATGTACTCTCAGTTTTCCCCGGATTTCTCTGATTCCTGATGCCTGGATTACGAAGCTAACTTCAGGATAAACACTGGGTTTGCTGAACTACAGAAGTGATTCACTTCTTAAAGGAACATATCACCATGGTAACTTGTGCCGTGAAGCAGATTAGATATCAACAGGTATGAAATCAATACTTCAGAAAATAGCGTCGCCATTCCTGGTTCTTTACTTTTTTTTGTTTGTTTGCTTTCTGTGGTCAGTGAAAGAACTTTACAGCAGTGTTATTATTCTAAACATTATTCTCTGCAGACACTGCAGTTTAATTTTTACTCTCAAACCCTTAAACTGCACCGAGTTTGCAGCTCAGAGAAGAACAGGGAGCAGCTGATGTTTCAAAGTTTAGTTTAAAAACGCCACATTTTTTTGTTCAGCATTATTAAAGTGCATTACTGATTCTCTGCTGGGTCAACGCGTTTCATAGGTGCAAGTTGTTAAAGCGAACGTACTAAAACCACTGACTGAAGCGCAAACTATGCATCACATTCTTACAGGAATTACACACATTCAGTTGGTGATGCAGAAAGTGTGCAAATGTTGCACGCTTGATTCTAATCTGCTGATAGGTCTCTTTTACACTACTGGAACTGCAAAAACTAGAACATAGAGCACACTCTTAGACTACCTGTTCAGTCAGGGGAATAACTTCACTTGATCTGCAGACAGACTGCAGCAGCTCCTTGACCATGGTGCATGGGCATAAGCTTTAATGCATAAGTTTATAGTTTTTTTTTCCTTAGAAAAGTTCAATTTTTTGTCTTCTTCTTTTATGTTGATAACCATTTTATCAGCATCTGATAGAGTCTCTCGAGTAGGTGACGCTCATAGAGAGTCGTGTGACCAGTGAACCGGTCAGATGATACCCAAACCATGCCTACTTCCTGTGAACATGCAGGGGAAAACCCTGGTTTAATTTAGCAAGTTTGTAACCAGCTTCGTATGACTGCTAATCCTGACTGTCAGCGGTCTGACGGACAGATGGCCTGAGTATGCTCAACTCGCGTTGTAGTGCAGGGCCCTGCAGTTCGAGCTTACTCTCTTCACCTTCACCTTAAGCTGAAAGCGCCCATGTAAACACAGGCACAGTTACAACCCCTTAGATTGCAGTCTTGTGTACACTTTTTTGTTGTTGTTGTTTTGTTTTGTTTTGTTAAAAACACTGTCTGTGATTGACACAGGAAACTGACTTAAGGGTGTAACAGCTGTTGAAAAAACTAAACGAGGAACAAGGTAGGCCTACTTTAGAAAGTTTAACTTGTTTGGTGTCATACTATCAGAAACGAATATTCTGAGACACAACAACCTGTAGTCTCCTAATTACCCACTGTGGAGAAGCTGACAGCAATCTATGTTGACATATATTCCACTTCTTTTTTTTTTTTTGCTGGGGAGGGGGGGGGGGGGGGGGGGGGGGGTGATTGTGAAATTATTTCAATTGCCCTTCATTCTGTCTATTGAACCATTTACTCACTATTAGGCCAACCATAAGCCAAATCATACTGCTAAGCCTAGATCAGGGATGTCAAACATAAGGCCCAGGGGCCAGAATCGGCACAGCAGAGAGACCCAATCTAGCCCGCTGGACAGCTTTGGAAAATATGATGGAAGGCATACAGTTTTGGCATTTTAAATGAATGTATTATTTATTTATAGCTTTTCAGCTTATTAAACTCCCCAAAGCCAGTTACACTACACTAAAGTAGTTAAGTATGTCAAGGCTGCGGCAGCAGTCGTGTGATGTGTGGGAAAGTGGACTCAAATGCAGGCACTTACTAAGATGCAAGTGAGGTTTATTGTAAATAACAGAACACAAGGCAGGGATGGCAAAAACAAAACTAAAGAAAACCTGAACTTGGAAAAGCTATTGCATTTTTTAAATCTTATATTAACATATGCCAGGGATTAAATGTGTAGTTAAATGTCCTTACACTGAAATTATTCCAAAAGTTCTTCAGTTATCTGCGTGCTGGGCGGAGACAAACAAACAAACAAACAACAAATGCAACTCAGTCCTACAGCAAAGTGTGAAATAGGCACTCCTGTCCACTGTGTTCATCATGCTTTTCTCCTTCCTAGTGTAAAATGGGCACACATGTAGAAGCTGCATCACCAGCAGGAGGAGACTTTTAAAGCCGCGAAGTCACTAGTGAGAGGCAAACGTGAAATGGACACAGTGGACCGGCGTGTCTATTACATGATACTGGGTTGAAAAACGTGTCTTTTTCTTTCGGCACATTTGTGCTACAATCAACTGACTGTAGTTCATATGCATGGAGAGGGACAATGGTGGAGGTGTATACAACTTCTGAGAAGTGGAGATAAGAATACTCCAATGGCCCAAAACAACAAGGTAAATTGGTCAAGTGCAAAGTTTAGGACAGAAGTAAGTACAAATGATTAACATGACATCAACTCTTTGCAAGCATCTCCACAAGCATGCTAACACAATGTGAAGAACCCAGACTGATGTTAAACCTGAGTGTGCAGTCAGTCTCGCAGCCAAGGTTTCTTCCTGTGTGGTTTTACAGTATAATCACTGTGGCAATCACTTTGAAGTCTCTTTGAACCAGTTTTCAGAAAAGAATGATGACTTCTACTCACGTGTGGCAAAAGATTTATACTGTTAACTGGTAATTGGCAGCGGAGTTTAAGTAATAATTTAGTTTCTCTGTGGGGGTACTCAAGTACTGTTCAGCATTACAGCATTAAGAAATGTAACAAGTAACAAACCCAATATTGACCAGTTTCTGGGCAATGTCTTTGTAAGCCACTTGAAATGTACAGTACCTATGGAATCATCCCTAACTCCCTAACTGTGTGCACATAACAGAAAACGTATTAAAGAACTCATTTTCCTTCACAAAAGTATAGAATTTTTTCCCATTTCAAATAACTACTTCAGCAACTATCAAATATAACACAGTTTGAGAGGCATAAAATGGTATTTTTGCACCAACAATGTGATTCCTAATGAGTCATTAGTCAAAAAATGGCATATCTCAGGATGGTGTGCAGTGTGTCCTTAAAGAAAACTGGGCCAAATTGATAAGTGAACGACAAAAGCAGTGGCAGACCAAGATAAAAATGATCTGCAGCAGATGAAAAGTATCTCCAAGTCATGATCAGAAAATGGTCTCAGCGGTTGTGTATTTTGGCATATATCAGCTCCATCCTGAAGAATGCTTTTTTTCACAAGTACTGGACTGAAAAGAAGTGACAACATGTCCTATAAAGTGATAAATCCAAATTTGAAATCATCATCAGCACACAGCAGCTTGCCCAACCTCAGCATTACCGAAGCAGTTTGAAATTATAACAGACAATGGAATAAAAACCAATCAACATCCAAAGAAAAGCTTTGATTGTCCCCCAGGAACCCTGGAGAACTGTTGAAGTTGAAGACTACTCAAAGAAATGACAAGAAAGCTTACCTAAGAGAGTTCAGACTGTGAAAAATAAGGATACCAAATAAAATAAATGTACCAGATCTGTATTTCCAATTTTACTAGAAAACAAGAAAGAAATAAGGGGTGGTTCAACACTTTCATACAGTGGCTGTAGCTCAGGAGGTAGAGCAGGTTGTCTACTGATCGGAAGGTTGGTTGTTGGTGGCTCACCCTAGTTTGCATGCAAAATATCCTTGTGGCAGGATATCTCTGATGCATCCATCGGAGTGTGAATGGTAGTTAGAAAGCACTTCAAAGCATAGAATGTGTGTGAATCTGGCATGTTGAATATAGCGTAGAAATATACGAATCACTCCATTTACTGTAGCTATACTAAATAGACCAGTAGCCATATACTATTACTGAACAAGAACAGACAAATCAGATTTGTGCTGAGCCATTCCTCGTAAAGTAACCACATTTAAACAATAACAACAAAATGTTTTCTTAAAAAAAAAAAAAAAATTAGATATGACTTTTCTCTTTCATAACAGATTCCACTAACTGAACTGTTTGATTTTACATGTTATCATCTCTTTCTCTTTCAGCTGTGAAGCACGTCATCTGAACTGCAACCACCCGACACGACGACAAGAAATCTTTCATCCAAGATGACTGAAAATAGCAACCATAATGTATCCAGCCACCCTGTAGGGTCCCATTCTTTGAATGTTTTTACCATTACCCTCCATGGCATTTTCTCTACAATTGGCATCGTGGAAAACCTCCTCATCGTTGCAGTGGTGGGCTTCCATGTCCGTCGCTCCATCATTAGCATCTGGATCCTGAACCTCGCAGTCTCTGACCTTCTAGCCACTTCTTCACTGCCCTTCTTCACCCTGTACATGGCCCGGGGCAAAACCTGGACACTGGGGACAACTTTCTGCCGCATCCATTCCTCCATCTTTTTTCTCAACATGTTCGTCAGTGGCTTCCTACTGGCGGCTATTTCTCTGGACCGCTGCTTGGTGGTGCTGAAACCTGTCTGGGCCCAAAACCACAGAAACATCCAACTAGTTAAGAAGATATGTGGGGTAATCTGGGCCATGGCTCTGATCTGCACTATCCCCTTCTTCCTGTTTCGTGACGTCATCCCTGTAGAACATGGCCGGAATCTCTGTTACTATGATTATGCACGATTCCTGCCTGAACCAAAGAATCAGACAAATAATAAACCTATAATTAAACAACGGAAAGAAGGACTGGCAATAATGAAGCTGTTTTTTGCCTTCTTAATCCCTTTGGTCATCATCATAGTGAGCTATGCTGTTGTACACTCCATAATAGCAAACAGATGTAACCGTCGCCCTTTCCGTTTTGTTCGGCTTGTAGTGTCTGTGGTGGTGAGCTTTGTACTCTGCTGGGCACCCTACCACATATTCATCGTCATGGAAGTGATGGCTCCAAACTCTCAGTCTGTTCAGGATTTTATAAGACAGGCCCTCCCAGTTGCAGCGACGATTGGCTTCCTCAACAGCGTCCTCAATCCTGTTCTGTATGTGTTCAGCTGCCCTGACCTGTGCAATAAGATCCGACATTCTCTCGGTGCAGTGATGGAGTCTGTTCTGGCTGAGGATCTTGCAGAGTTCGCCCGGCGCCGCAGCACAGCTCAGAGCTCTATCGGCAACTCTGAGATAATGACGAGAAAGAAGCATTCCCTTGCAACTCAGGAAGAAAGTATGAGTACTTCAGTTTAGAAGTAAAACATACCATCTCTTCTTTAGTAAGTGCAAAGAAGGTTTTATTTACCTCAACTGCACATAAAAAAGTTCCCTGTTGTCTAACACATATCACTCAGGCAATACTTTTTCACAAGAAGCTTACCTGTTTTGCTATAGCATTGTATTCTCCATCCATCAATCAAGTTATTAGTGCCCCATCTAGGATTAAGAATATGTTTTAGTATAAATGAACATCATCGGGAGTTCATGTTTGGAACATGTGGATAGACTAAAATCCAACCTTAATCCTGACACTGGATGGAGCACTTGTGACCTGATGGATATTATGAGGTTTCTGTTGTTTTCATATGCTTCTTCTTTGTTTTGTTTTGTTTTTTTTTGTTTTGTTTTTTTTGCCTGTCCCGTTTGGCTCTTTTGCCATCAGAATTGTTGTCTAAAGGCAAAGAAAGATGCCCAACGGATTTACTTTACCAAATTGACCATCCCAGCCTTGCCGTAATGGTCCATTTGATTCACCTTTTATTGTTTATTTTATTTTCACTTACTGAATACGGGACAGACTTGACTGGGGGAAAGAAGGGGAGAAAGAAAGAGGGAAAGAGAAACAGCTGAGAAGAGGGACGGGGGAGAAGGGCAAAAAACAAAAACCAACAGAACGGGCAGAGAAAAAAAAATGCATATATCAATCACCTGGGTCACCTGCTGAGAAAGAAAAAAGAAAACAAGCAGAAGAGAACAAGAGTAATAGAATAAACAACATCACAATGATATATGGGAATATGACAGTAAATACTAAAAATTAAACATTATTGTGCAGCACATAAGATCAACAGAACACAGTGTGCTTTGAGGTAGGAGCCAAAAAGGGTGTAGTTTGTGGGTGTGATCACCCGTGTGTACACCTGTGAGCATGGACGCACTTGTTTTTTTGTTTTTTTTGTTTTTTTTAAAAGGTTCCTTCATGTAATGATCTGCTAGAGGGTGTGGGGGGGCCACAGCCCCGTCCTCCAGGGCATGAAGCAGGTATGGAGGAGATCAAAACTCCAGACATCCAGAGGCCCCCAGAACACAAGAGACCAAGGAAGACCAACAGAGGGGCAGCCGCGTCACTGTCCCAGAAAGAGCTGAGGAGAGTCCCAGATGAGGGTTCACTCAGCAGCCGCGGAGCAGAAGCCAGGGGGAGTTGCAGTGACGCGCCCATGAGTTCCGCTGGCAGCCAGCTGCGCCTGAGTGACCAAGCCCCAGGCCGAGAGGCCGGGGGCACCCCACCTCCGAAGTGGCCCGAGCGAGCCCCAGGCTCCAGGCCCCGATAAGCGGCCGCCAAGGAGTGAGCCGGTGTGTACCTGGACGCCCACCCCCGGACACAAAGAACCACCAACGCACCGATGTCTGAGGGAGTCCGCCACTGGCAGGGTTTCATATGCTTCTTCATGTATTTAGACAATGACAGCAGACATTTGTCTTCAAAATAATTAAATTTTAGAAATGGCCTTTCTTTTTCATAACACAAAGAGCAAAGTTCACTCCATGTCCTTTTACAAACTTTCTTTGCTTCTTAATGGTATCTTTTCAGATTAAAGACATCCAGTAATTGGTCTAATCTGCTGCAGACGTGTAATCTAAAACTTTTGCATATTCTTAGTGAAATTATGTGTGGGGATGATTGTGAAATAAGTATTGCAATGCCAATACAACACTTGTTACAAAATATCCATCCGTCCCTGTTTCAGTAAAAATATCTATCAGTGCTTCCCTGTGCTTGACATAGAGATATTGCATAAAAATAGAGAAAGATAGCTTTATCATTTAATTTTAGCTTTTCAGTACAAAGTCCTAGACTCATTTGTATTCCTTATATTTAGCGAATTATATGTGATGTAATTTCTGTACTCTAGCAAGAAAAAACAGTTTAGTTAGCATTATTATACAGTCATGTGCAGTATGTCACTAAATTTGCAAAAACTTCCCCATTCTATGTACCTCTCTTGTTTTGAGGGTGTTTGATGAAAATGTCAATTTAGTTTAAAGTAATACACGCTTTTTTGCTTTGTAAATAACCGAGCCTTAGACTTTTTAAGAAATGTGTAATGTGTTTCTCACTAGATGTTATCACCAGCTGTAAGTGCCTACACCAGCGTTCTTTTTTCAGATGCAAAACATTCGGTTTCCTTTTATGATGAAATTGCTCAAGCTGTTTATGAGAAAAAGTGTATTGCACGTTTACTTTAGCGCTCACTCATATGCTGTCAATACCTTTTAGCAGTAAAATGACATTTTAGAAAATGAATAAAAGAAAAGAAAAGCATTCCTGGCACCTTCGTATGACTAGTTGCTTACCGTTATATAACCACAATCTTGTGTTTCCATAGTGATTCACACCTTCTCTATTTTTAAAATTACTGACAGCACACGTGTGATTAAATGCAGTTTTTAATGATCGTAAACTGAGCAGCAGAAAACAATTGCTTCATAAACTCACAGTAGTTATGGATGTGCGCTTTTGACAAATATGAAACTGAATTTCCATATTTCAGCTGAGTTACATGTAAGCTGAAGTCACTGTTTGCGCAAAAATATCTTTTTTCTCTCCTACCTTTAAGCAGTATCTAGATGAGAAACTGTGAATGCCCAAATAATTCTTTAGATGAAAAGGTGGAAACACTGCGAGGCATAAACTCAACATATGTCTTCCCACTGGGTGGTGCAATTGCTTTGATTGTGGTCAAGTCCAAACTATATTGCTAGAAGGTTACTCTGTCTATTTTCACTCACCCTCTTGGTGTCTGGGTGAGCTCTGGTACTAAGAGTCATGCTTTTGCTTGGGTTTTGCCCTCTTCCCAAACAGGGCAGGGACCTTTGCAGCTCTAGCCGAGCATCAGGGCAGAGGAAGATGTAGAAGAGGGGATCCAGCAAAGTGTTCAGACTGGTCAAACCATAGCACAGGCGATAGATGAGGAAAAGTGAATGCTCCAGTTCACATGGATCATCAGTCAGCAGCAAGGATACAAACCTGTATCCACCTACTAGGTGGTAGGGTCCAAAGACAACAATGAAGTTGACAGTAATCACGACCAGAATTCCTACGATTTTGTGCCGTTCATGGGCGGAGAGGGATGGAGATTGCCTGAGTGTCACCCCAATGTGGGCTGAGGTGTAGCTGAGGGAGGAAACAGATTTGGAGATCAGAAACCAGCCTTTAATCTAATATACAAAACGTTCCAAAAGAACAGGGAAATATCCGATTTATCTAGAAAACATTAAATCAGAAACATATGTGCACATGTAGATTTTGGTATTAACTCACCCTAGGATGGCACATGGCAACAAGAAGCCTAGAACCACAGTGGCAATCTTAAATTGAGCATATCGGCGGCTGACGGGGTACTGCTCCAAGCACAGCAGTCTGTCAGAGTTGAACACAGATGGTAGCAGCCCACTCAGACAGAACAGGAAGGTTAGGATCCACACCGCTACACCTGACACTGCTGCTACTCTGACTGTTCGCACCCTGCGGCTGCTGAATGGGTAAACAATAGCCAGGCAGCGGTCTGTAGCTATCAGACACAGGAACATGACACTTGCATAGACGTTCACGTAAAACACGTAGCCAACTAGCTCACAGGTTAGCTGGCCATAGGGCCACTGGTGTGGACCCTGGAGGTAAAGAATCCATAAGGGCAGTGTGAGCAGTTGGAGGAAGTCTGACAGCAGCAGGTTGAGGATGTAGACCAGCTGACAGCCTCCGCCACCTGAGCGCCCCAGGTGGTACAATCCCCAAAGAGACAGCAGGTTGCTGGGGAGACCCAGAGTGAAGATGAGGCCATAAATACAGGTCAGTCCAAATATGTCCGTGTCTAAGGGGAGGTTGCAGGTATCGTTGGACATGTCTCTGAGGGTAAAACACGTCACATGGGAAACTTGAGGTGATCTCAATCAGACGTTGATTCACACTCACAGAACAGTGAGTTAATGTAGGAAAGCCCATCCATTCACTCAAGGCAGAGAGGAAGAAAGGAAGACTCTGTTCTCAGGTGCATTCTTCCTAATCACACGTGTCCACTCTGCAAGATTCATAAAGCCACTCTGCTGTGGAAAAAATCACCCTCATTTTTGAAGCTGTCACTCAACCAGGCTTCAGAGCATCCCAGATCCATTGGTGGAAATGAAAACCTGCAAAACAGATGCCATGAGTTTTTAAGTGCATGAAGACTGAACCCATAAAAAAGCTTAAATCCTTTGTACTCACCCCTCAGAGCTTTGAGACTGACTTTATTCCACAAATAGTGTGCAGCCCAGTCTGCAGCCGGGTGACCTGTGCTCAAGCAATGTTGGGAACACGTTGCCTCGACCCAGCCTTGTCTATTCTGTGATCGTTTCCTCCACAGGAAACCCACTTCTTCAGCTTTAAAGGCAACATCCTGAGGCAGGAGAACGCCTTTCTGTCCCAGAACAAAAACAAACTCCCACTTTTTCTGAGCCTCTGTCTTTCTTGCTTCTACAGCAGCCGCAAAGATTAGGCATGGACAGGCACAGTGAGTGCAGGGATCGATGTGTCCGCTGATGGGAATTCCCAAAGAATTCTTTAGATTGTAGCTGGTCTCCAGCTACAATCCATCAATCATGTTAACCCATATGCTGTGATACCTCTAAACATGCTGTTAAACAACACCGAACGAACTATTAGGTATGTCGTGTGGAATTGTATTCATTAGCTACAGTTCTTTTTCATGCCTTAAAAGAGTTAAACTCTTCTCTTATCAAAGCACCACGTTTTGTGGTTTTAGATAACGTTTAGGGTGATTTTAGATCATTTATAACTGATCAGTTAAGGAAATTTTGGTTGAGGTTAGTGTTTATCTAAGTCTTCAGGAAATGAATGAAAGCCAACATATGTCCTCTAAAGACATGAAAATATAACTGTGCGTGTATGAACTTACTTCTGCTATTGTGAGGGCCAGAACGTTTTAAACTAGAGACGATATCTAAGCTCTCATTTTTGGACTCACTTTTAAAAGGTTAATTAAGTGTTAAGACTTGATGTGATATCTAAGACTGGAATTACTATAGGGCTGGAATAGAAATAGGAATAGAAAGTTAGAGTGAAGAGAAATGTTCTCACAAATATAGTCAAAACAGTAAGTGTGCGTAGGTTTGTGTATTCTGTGTAGGTTAGAGAGAGAAGGTTGAAACCACAGCAAAAAAGGTGCAGATAGACAAACCTACCAAACCAAACACAATACTGTGGTAAAATTTATTGCAGGGTAAAAGAAGAATAAGCTTCTTCCCCAACTGATTTAATTAATAATTTGTAGTCAGTAAATGTTTTACACTTTGGCTCCGAGGAACTTTTTTCATACAGTGCAGACCGAAAAAAAAGAGTACACAATTGAAATTGTTTGACTGAAGAATGGGCGTATTGAAACAATAGGTATTACTTGGTATTTTTACCACATGGGTTCAGAGGGAGGGGAGCCTAATCACTCACTTTTGTTTCTTTTAAATGTCACAAAACTTTGATTCATCAGATAACACAAGTTTGTTATTTATAAATTAGAAAGTACATAGGTTCTCCAGAGCTCCAAATAAAGATCTTCATATTTCTTTGTACATGACTGGCCATAAAGACAGATGGGAGCCATGTACTGTACAGATTGTAAGTCAGAAGCAGTCACTCTAAATAGTCCTCCATAAACCCTGGTAGGCTGTGTATTTCTGCCAATCAGAGCACTCAAAGTGCTTTTTGATACAATTTGTCACATTCACCTATTCACACACACACACACATGAACACACATAGTATGGTCTTGCTATCCTTGTGGGGACATCTCATTGACATAATGCTTTCCCTAGCTGCTTATCCTAACCCTAACCATCAAAAATGAATGCTTAACCCTAACCGTTACCCTAAACCTAACCATAACCCAATTGTAACCCTGACACTAAAACCACATTCTAAGTGTGAAAAATGCCTTCAACCCCATGGGGACCTGGATTTTGGTCCCCACAAGGGCTGTTGGTCCCCACCAGTATAGTAAATTTCAGATTTTGTTCCCCACCAAGATAGGAAGAACCAGAACACACACACACACACACACACACACACACACACACACATATTAATATTGTGTTTTAATCTTTGGTTTTCAGGTATTTTTATCACGTATACACTTACATGCCACTGCATGCATTAGGGGAGATTGTTTGCTCAGTAGCTTGCCTGAGAATACTTGGACATTAGGGCCGGAGAAGAGAAGCCACTGATCTTCCAACTAACAGAGTATCTCTGGGCAAGATACTTATACCAGGTTGCTCCTGATGTGGTGATCAGCATGTGAATGTCAGATAGATCACTTAGTCATTGTATGAATGTGTCTGAATGGGTGAATGATGCGCGTTGTATAAATTGGTTTAAGTGGTGAAGTAGAGTACAAAATAACTACCGTAACTGTCGGGCTATAAGCCGCTACTTTTTGCACAAGCTTTGAACCCTGCGGCTTTTAGTAAGGTGCGGCTTTTCTATGGATTGTCCATGATTTTTGTCATATCGTAAGACGATTTGTTTTATTTGTTCCGCTGTTGTACAGCTCTGTGGTGGCCATCTTGTTTTCCCAGTAAAGAGGAGGCCTGCCTCAATTGCAGCTCTTTTATAGGCCAGTCTGTATTAAGAAGGCGTGTCTTTAGAGTATTTAAAGGGAGCAGGAAATGGATTGGGAGTCATTTTGAGAAGTTGCTGTCTGTATGTGCATGATGTTGGCAAGAGACAATAAAACAATTACTTCAATTAAGATTGAGTGAAGTCTGATGTTTCCCTCACCGCTCCTCGCGGCATAACAATTGGTATAAGTACAGTAGAGGCCCATAAAGTGTTGCAGAACAGTTTAACAGCATATGTTGGAACATGTTCTCCTCTATCGAGCAGTGTCTCTACCTGACTTGGTCTGAGGGTATTTCCAAATTTAGAATCTCAAAGAAAAAACTCAACAGACATTGATACAGTTGTCTCACTGAAAAAAACAATACTACAAGTACTATACTACAATCTGATTACGTATAATATAAGTGTAGTATTTTGACTGTTAATATAAGTTGCTTACATTTGTCAACATGATGATGGCGTTATGATAGTGTAACTCATATTGAATCTGAAACCCTGCCTGTGTGTCTGCATTTGTCTGAGATGTGACTCAAAGAGAGAGTATGAATTTCACACCAACTGCTGCCACATGTAACGCTCTCACGTACACTGCAGTTTGCAGTCCTCTAAACTTCAGCCTAAAACTATGCAAAGAGCACAACTATGTCAAAAAGCTCCTTTTCACAAAAGCTTAAAGCTTGGAAAGAGTTCATCTTGTTTGCTTTCATTGTTTAACCCTTTAAGACCTACCATAGAACCAAGTCCGCCAGAGCTTATCTTTATATTTTTACATGCTGTAGTGCCATTTTTGGGAGCATTTCAAGTTGCTATACATCAATACAACCGTTATAGCCCAAATTTTAATAATATCTATGCATTAAGTCCATAGAAACTACATAAATTGCAAAAAAAAAGTGCAATAAACTACAAAAAAATTGAAAATCTTTTTTTTTTTTCACATATATTTCTAGTTAGAGAAATTTAAGAGGTTTATCCCTCAAAACTGTTAATACAGAAAAGTTGCAGAAAATAGTTTCCAACCACAGGAAATTGATTTTGAGTGTCTCCATAGTTTCATTTTTATATACTGCAGGAAAAACAAAAATAAATATTATAATGCAAATGTGCAAAAACAACAGCATGTGAATCAAAATAAACTATTACCAGCAGTGCAATTTGAGTTCTAAGCATCCCAGAAACTATTCAGAAAAGCATAAAGTCAAACATGACTTTTAAAAACACCAGTATAGGCTTATAAGGCCCTGAAGGTAAAAAAAAAAATAAATACATTTTCCGCAAAAATGACGTCATTTCTGGTTTCGGCCAGGTAATGGCAGACATACAATAGTTCGCACTGACGTCTATTCCAGCGTGGGAAGTGTGGTGAACAGCTGATCGGATCGGCAAAGCGTGTTTCTGGAATATTATTTTTTTTGTTGCTGCAAGTGCTTTTTATGCAATTTTTGCAAAGCTATATGTGGAAGGAAACGGTGACCTAGGACAAGCTAATGGCATAACATGTAAGTACAACTCCTCCGGTTTATATGCAAAAAAATGATTGCGCTAGCTTACGTGGTTCCAGTTCAACAGGGATTCAAAAATAGTTACGCAAAACGGAGCGTTCCCGCTCCGACCGGTTTTAAAGGGTTAAACCCTCTGTTTATGAGGGGCAGCCAATCAGAATGAATTTGGCCTAAAGGGAGTGAAAGAAAGACAAGAGTCAAGTTAGTGAGTGGCACCCTTGAAAAATTTGCCAAATTTCCTCTGCTGGTCAATCAAGATGTATTGAGAAGTTTAGGTTTAGGGAGGTTTAGGTCCCCTTTAAGTTTTGAGGATATCTTTTGATATAAAAAGATATCCTATGATGTAAAGTAAAAGTATTCACCCTAAATGACAAATTTCCGTGGGGGTAATTCAAATCTTCGCTGTTCTAAACTGTTTGTAAATTTCTGGCAAATGCAGTTTTAGTCAAAGCAAAAATTTAAGGGAGAAATTATTGTAAAGACTAATCATGTGACACTGACTCTGTCAAGCTAAACGTTGCAAAGACTGCATCATGTTTGGCTCATTTACTCTGGTTTCATTTTTCTCTTTGACCTCCGGCAGCAGAGGAGCCTACAGACAAAGACCAAAGCCCAGATGAAAATTCCAGTTATGGCTATGGTTAAAGCAGCCACATCCAGACAGAAGTAGGAATACCAAGGCAGATGAAAACCTGCTGACTGTAGGTGAGGTGCTCCTTTGTTCCTGATGACATATTCAATCCAAAAGATGGCAGTGTCCATTGGAGTCATTGGTTTGTCACGGTGTAGCTGGGACAGATGCTGCATGTTAGTGTGGAAAGAGGGATTCTCAAGAACATCCTTGAGAGCGCCCAGGAAGTCTTCTTTGGTCAGTGAGTAGGCCTCCAAAACCCGAGCTGCACCACGCACCTTCAGCCGGAGTAAGTTGTCAAACTGGTCAAAGAGGAGGGGGAGGCCCACAACAGGAACACTGTGGTAGATGGCTTCATACAAGCCATTGGTGCCTCCATGGGCCACAAAGGCACGAGTCTTGGGGTGTCCCAGGAGGTCGCTCTGAGGTAGCCACTCCAACAGCAGGGTGTTGTTTCCGAGAGATGAAGGTTTTTCACCCACAAAACGCCAAATCACCTTGTGAGGGAGCTCAGCAAAAGCAGCAGCGATGGCCTCTGTGACCTTCCGAGGTAGGGCTGATATAAATGTCCCCAGAGACATGAAAACCACCCCGTGATCTCCGGAGCTTTGCATGAATGCTTCCAGCTTAGCGGGGAGTGGCTGGGCCTTTTTGCAGTGGAAGC